CCATCGCTGGGGTCAGGGAGGTAGTTATGGGAGATGGTTGGGTCCCCAGGATAGCAATCAGAGTGCACTGGGGTGCTAGTGGAGCCACAGGGTGATTAGCAGTAGTAACTTCTTCAGATTTTGGCTCTTCTGGAGGTGGGTCTGATAAGGGGCCAGCGGTTTCCTCTGAGGGGTACTGATGTCCAAATGGGGCATCACTATTCCCTGGAGCCCCTTCTTCTGTCTCTGACTGTTCTTGCTCTTCCCCTCTTTCTAAGCCAGACTCTTCACATTTCTTGGTGTTGGGCTTTCGGGTAGCTGGGAGTTTCCCTATCAGTGGAAGGACAGGCTTATTGCCAAGAGAGGGGGGGAGCTTGGGCCCAAAGTAACCTTGTGGGGGGTCCTTGAGCTTGAGCCCAGCTTTATTTGGGGTGGCCAGCACCTCCTCACTTACACTGAGTTTCCTCTCCACTTTCCTTGACTGGATCTTCTCCAGTAGAAGTTTGGCAGTGAGAGAGTTCTTATCTTCAGGGCTGCAGTCACTCTCTGATCCCCTTCCTGTGCCAACACTGCTGTTCTGGGAGGGTAGGCCTGTCCCTTTACTATCATCTCCTCTGCCATCTTCCTTTTTCTCATGGCCTTCTCCCCGACCTGATCGGAAATAATGAGGAGACTGGGAGCGGTAGATTTTGGAGCGAATGAAGTCTCGACGACCAGAACGCCTCTCCTCAGGGCTCTCGTGACCCCATGATCCTTTCCTAGAGCCTGATCTTTGGGAAGGGCTTCTGGTGCTGCGGCTGCGGTCCCGGCTATAGCTGCGGCTTCGCTGCCAGCTGTGGGCTGTGGTACTACGGCTTCTCCGTTTGCTCCGGCTGCGGCTGCAACTACTGCTGCGGCTGCGGCCCCGGGATCTTGAGCGGTCTCTGGTATGACTCCGAGACCGGCTTCGGGACTGGCTGCAACTGAGGCTATAGTCATCGGAAGATGAATATTTGTGCCGTTTGGACCGGTGCTTGGAGCTGGTGTAGTCTGAGTCATCAGAGTCATGGGAGCGCTTTGAGTGCCTTCGTGATCGGTCACTATAGTCACTATAGCTGTCATCAGAATAACTGTGCTGCCTACTATAGCAGCTCTGGTCTGAAGAAGCCTCTGAGCTACTTGAGTAAGAACGCTGGGAGGAACGGTGTGAGGAATGGCGCCGGCCAGACCGTGAGCGGCTATGGGAATGCTCACTGCCCGAGTCTTCCTCTTCCTCCTCCTCCTCCTCTTCACTGTATTGGGATGGAGACTTCTGGTGCAGCCGGCGTGATGAAACATCATCACTATCCTCATCTCCACTGCTGGGTCGACTCCGATGGCTGGACCGGCTGCTCCGTTTGGTGCTAGCTCTTCGCTGGCAGGATGAAGTTGGAGGTTCACCTTTATGTTTCCTCCCACCATGATCTTGAGAGCTGCCACCACCTCCACTTTCATCCTTTTTGCCACTGCTCCCTTCTTCACCTGGGAGGGATCTCCGCTGGGAATCATCTTGGGCTCGCCGCCGTCTTCTTGGTGGAGCAGGGCTACCACTCCCAGGGGGTTCTGGTTTGGGTCCCCGTTCAGAATCTGCCGGGGCTGACTTATTCTTCTTCCGTTTTCGTTTCTTGCGCTTCTTAGACTTCTCCCCAGACTCAACCTTAGAGCTTTTGTCTTCTGGGTCAGCCTTGTGTTTCCGTTTGTGTTTGCTGGATTTTTTGTGCTTCTTTTTCTTTTTGTGTCGGTGGGACTTCCCAGATCGTTCTTTCTTGCTAGGAAGGCTTCTCCCTGTGTCTTCTGTTTCTGATCCATGGCTGCCACCAGGCTCCTGCTTATTCAGGCCGCGACAGGAAGATCCTGAGGCAGGTGCATCTATTCTATCTCCTGAGGAATGTTCTACTTTCTCTCCTCCTTCCTTGCTTTTATTTGGCTCACCAGGATCAAGGTCGTGGAGATGGTCCTTTGAGGAGCCTCCTATGTCCTTTGGTTTTTCTGTCCCTTTAGCTCTGGCATCTTTGTTCCTTGAAAGTTTAAAGTCAAAGTATAAAGGGTTACAACTGTATGAAATGGAGGGTTCTGCCTTGGTGAAAATTAATAGTTCTGATGGCCACTGGAGGGCAGTGCTTTCATCTTTGCTCAAAACTGGAAAGAAGGGGCCAGTAGGATGTTTGGGTCCCTCACGGCTTTCTTTCCCTGGTGGGGTGGTCTGAGAGGTTTCTTTAGAAGGGTTAGGCTCACACATCTGGATACCTGAAGACTTCTGACTCTCTAAACTCTGCTCACTTATGTCCCCTCCTGAAGCCTTCTTGGTTTCAGCTCTGCTTCCAGGTTCTGAGGGCTCAGCCACACTGGTTTCCGCCTGCTGCTCCGAGACTTCACTAACAGTCTTTTCTGCTCCTTGGCTTGCTGCCACCTTGCTTAAGCGTTTAGGCTTGGGAGAATTGCTTTTTTTGCTCTCTAGGGCATTCTTTGGGTGTGTATTATCACCACCTTCCATTTGTTCGCTAGCTCTCATAAAGAGGAGGAAGGGAAAATTAGGTTTTACTTTGCAGTGTGCTGGGGGGATGTAGTGGTAATACTCTGGCTCTGTTGCCCCAGCTCCTTCTTCTCGCTTCATTCTTTTTAACTTAGATAATGTTGAGGCAAGGGACCCTCCATCCTGAGGGTCTTCGTCCTCTTTTTTGCCATCGAGATTACTACTAGCATCAGAGTCTCCCACCTTCTGCAGTCCTTGGTCAGACCCCTTCTCATCAGCTTTTGTTCCATCTTCAGAAGTTCCTTCCTCTGCGTGGTCCTTGAAAACTGATGCTATTGATTCGAGTTTGACAGGAGCCTTCTTGGCAAAAGAAAATGACACTCCCAATTTTTGCAATGGGGTACCCAGATTATTCTTAATGCCAAAGCTGACACCTTGGGAGACTAACCCAGGAGCCTGTGCCAGTCCAGTGGTATTAGTGATTTGTACTGCAGTGAAAGGGCCTCCTTTATCTGTGGAGAATTCAGATCCTACTCCACAAGTGGCAGGGACACTTATGCCACTATTTGTAGCTGATTCATCTTTATCATCATCTCCACCTTCTTCATCTACAGCCACTGTGGTTGGTCTGAACATAGGACCACTTCCAGGTGCACTACACATTGGTTTAGAAAAATAAAAAACAAACGAACAAAAAAAACAGGTTTAGGAGTACATTTCATGCTTCCTCTAAAATACCTCATGTTCTATCATTCTTTACAGGTAGGTCTAAAAGACACTGAGTGGTGGTCATTCCCTAGCCTTGTGTTAATGAAGGGAACTCTCTGACTGAGGTTAGGCAAAATCTCATACTGTTAATCTATCAAGCTACATTTCTAAAACTAGACAGTTACTACTATTTCTTCCTAAGGTATCTAAAATTAAAATATTTTATCATTATCATCTGGTAAAGTCTACCCATCCTGTATCCATGCTCATTTCTTACTGTATCATCCTACCCATCAGTATGTTATCAAATGTATGGCTGAACATCTATTCACAAGGTTCTATTCAGCTAAAAAAACAACACCCTAATTTTCTCTGCTTTCAAATTTCATTTTTTTTTAAATGTGCATGTTCTCTGAGTTAAATATAATCAGAACCTCCAAAGTGCTACTACTCTGGTGGTCTGTGGCTAGTATGTCTGTTTTAGAAACGAAGGGTCTGTGCCTATTTCCTGGGCCCCACATCTAAGCATTTACTTATAAAATTTTTTTTTTTTAAAAAAAATTGATTTCAGAGAGGAAGGGAGAGGGAGAGATAGAAACATCAATGATAAGAGAGAATCATTGATTAGCTGCCTACTGCACACCCATTGGGGACTGACCCCACAATCTGGGCATGTGCCTTGACGGGGAACTGAACATTAAACTGCCCTCCTGGTTCATGGATCAATGCTCAACCACGGAGCCACACCGGCCAGCTGCGTTGGCTTTGATTCTTTCTGGGCATTACATACAACGATCACGATACTACTGAGGACTTTCTCAGGTTTGAAAACAGGAACACTGAGGAGCCTCAAAGCCAACATTTTAAAACCCTGTATGCCGGAAATTTTTATAGAATGTGAACTATAAAGGCATCTCTCAAGCTAAATTGAAGAACTAAAAGCATTAGATATCTATTTTAAGTCCTCGTTATCTGAACTCTACATACTAGCTGTCTTAAACTCAGGAATCAAATATATTTGGATAATGTGGTATCCCTTACTATCAGAAGACAGGAACCCAATAGATTTGGATAGCAATAGATACTTACACTGTGTCACAAAACCTACCACACAGCAAAGAAAACCTCAAACTGAATAAAAAGGGAACTTATTTTGATATTTGCTTAGTCTTTGCCATGTTACTTCAGTAATATTTACTTACTTTGGGGTCATGCATTACTCCTAGGACAATTAAATACCTGATGAGGGTTCAAAACTTTCTTTTATTCTCCCAAGAGATTACTCAGTCATCGTTTAGCTGTTTGTTTGTAAAACTGAGGAAAGTCACCTCTGAAGAAAAACATGTATTAAAAAATGTCCTGAACTAGAAAGTGGTCTGTTATATACTGTTTAAGGAGGTACCCTTGCAACATGTACAAGAGGAATTGTTTTACTACATAAAGAGCTGCCAAAGAAGAAATCTATAGACAGTTTAACTCAACATTAGGGCTCAGGTTAATTCTGTTTCAAAACTTACACTAATATGTGTTTTCTCCCTTCCTTCTGTCTCCAAAACATAAGAGAAGTAAATAAGTAAAACAGGATCCAGAGACAAAAATAAACCTAGTAAGTCCAGGAATGAGGCTGTAAACTTTTAATAGGAGCAATCAGTTTATCTTTTAACTATAACCAGTTCCTTCCTTTGGTCCTGGTCAACCATTAAAAATAAACATGGGGCCCTAGCTGGTTTGGCTCAGTGGGCAGAGTGTCGGTCTGCGCACTGAAGGGCCCTGGGTTCAATTCTGGTCAAGAGCACAGGCCCAGGTTGTAGGCTCAATCCCTAGTGGGGGAGGGCAGAAGGCAGCCAATCAATGATTCAATGATTCTCTCTCATCATTGATGTTTCTATCTTTCTCTCTCTTCCATTCTGAAATCAATAAAAATGTATTTTAAAAAAACAAACAAACATGGGGCCCAGCCAGTGTGGCTCAGTGGTTGAGCATTGATCCATGAACCAGGAGGGCAGTTTTATGTTTCTATCTCTCTCTCCCTCTCCCTTCCTCTCTCTGATATCAATTAAAAATAAAACAAAATAAAAACAAAACAAGCACGGGTGAGAGGGGGGTAGAAGAGGTTATATGGGGGATAAATGGTGATGGAAAAAAATAACAAAATAAAGGGAGAAAAAAATCAACTCAACCCAAACTAAACAAACAAACATGGGGGGGGGGGTCTAGTCCTTCTAATTGAGCATATACCTCACAAATCTTCCGATGCTTAAAGACTGGGTCCCCAAAGTCTAATTGCTTAGAAATTCAGCCTTAAGTGGAAAAAATTTCACCGAAGGCAAAATACCAGCTCCAAACTGTTAAGCAGGAACCTTATTGCATTCCCTAGGTTTCATAGTGTTTAGTACTAACTTATAGTACTTAAAAGGCATTTACTACACTTGAATCTGTGCTGCAGTACTTTTTGGTTATAAAATAATAATGTAACAAATGTGCTTTTCTACATAAGAATGAATGTCGGAGATAGGAACAATAATAGCGTATAATTTACTGAGCATAATTTATATGTACTAAGCACTTTTAATGTAATAACTTAATCACTCTTCACAACTATAGAGATTAGACTGTTATTACCATCTCCATCTTATAGATAAGGACACTGAGGCATAGAGGTTAGATAATTTAAGGTCACACAGATTGTAGAATATGGCCTCAGATGAGCATCTTCTTACTCTAAGTATCGATATGCTTTTAGGTTGAAAGAGGGAATGAAAGAGGGAATCTATTAAAAACTTAAGCATTATAATTCTTAAATCTTAAGGATTATAATTATCCATAGACTCTCTGAGAGAAAACGTCCTCACCATTCAGCTTGTTTTCTTTGCTCTGCCAACTCATGGAGACGCCGAAGGGCTTTTTCCTGTTTCTTCTCATCCTTGCGGGATCTTGAAGAAACATTTCGAGCAAACTCTCTCTGCTTGAGATCTTTCAGTCTCTGGGGTAACAAAAGAAGGGAACAGAGGGTGGGTGGTTTAGAGTAACTTGGGGATCCTGAAAACAAGGCCTTTAAAATTTACCCTCAATCAACGGTTATAGTGCTAGTGTAGAATACATTGTTATACTCTCTTCTGGTAATAGAAAACACAATGGCTGATTACTTTGGGTAACACACTTGTAGTATCTGCATTTCTAATTAAGACAGCATACCATTTGCTTTATTGGGAAAACTTAAATGATGTCAGAAGCAATGAGCAAATTTTAGAACACTAGGAAGAAAGAAAAGGGACTATTTAATCACCTGCTCTTCCAGGATGCAAAACCAGACAAATAGAACATGAGATAAATTGTAATAACACAAGCCAAAGAAAACAGAAAGGGGTTAAACTAGTACAGAAAGTTACCCAGGTGTAAGATCTTAAAAAGCAATGTACAGCTTACATGGGGAGGTTATTTGAATCAGAACTAACAAATAGAAAGCATACTTTTATTTCACCATAAAAAGGTGCTATTATTTCTTTTTAGCATGAACAGTTTTCCTGTGACTATCAAACAAACCGTTTTCCAATGCTACTAGCATGTTCGGAGCTCACCAGTTCGACCATGTTTCATCCGGTCATTCTGGTGAAATTAGACAGTAATATGTGTAGCTTTTCATTGCTTCATAGCCCTGAGAGGAACATCCAGGGGATGAGAAGGGAGAATAGAGATAAGTCAAAGAATTTATTACTTAAAATCCTAATAAAAGAATGGGTCTTTTATTCTCAGAAGCTATTATATATTTTTCCTTAAAACAAAAGAACAAGAACCAAAAAAGAACAGTGCTATGACACACTGGTAACAGAGTCCAGACATATCTATCTGCAATGAAGACAGAACTAAAATTATTTTTAACACGCTAACATTAAAACCAAAGAAACCAAAACACATACATTAGCCTATGTTTTTACCACATCACTGGGAAAAAGAATTTGACCCAATATAAAGTGGACATTGCTTTGTGGAAAGTCATGATGTTCAACAGACAGAGGAATTTTCTTAGCTAGTATTTATGAAATGTGTTTTGAGTATTTTTGAATTGGGAAGGGAAAAGGGTGGAAAGACACACACAAAGAAAGATGTACAGCTAAAGACACTAGTAGAAAAACTCACTCTTGTGATCTGGGCTCCCAAATTAGAAGGATTTGCTTTCAATACATCAGCTGAAAATGTCACATCACAAAGAAAAAAAAGTAAAATAAAACAAGAGTGGAAGAGAAAAAAAAATAAAGCAAGCATTACTACACAAGCTCTCTTAGTGAATCTGCAAACCATTATACTGAACAATCAGGGACAAAGCCATCAACTCTAAAAGGGGCGGGAAGAAAGGAAGCACCTGTACAACACATACATGTGTACATTTACACAGACTTGACATAGTAACAATCCCTCCTATATAAATGGAAGTACTGCTTTTTTTTTTTTTTAGGAAAAAATATGGTTATAGAACTCAAGGAAAGACCACTGCTGTCTAAAAGCAGTTAGTCTTATTTTCATTTACCTTTATTTTGAGGACGCTCAAGTAACCAACAGCTGGCAAAATTGTTTTACTGAGGCTAGTTGCCCAGAATTATGATTTTTATAAAAACCACTTTAAGATGGATGATCAACTATTTTAAATAAACATGGATTCCAATTTCCTCTTTCTGAAGAAAACGAAGCAGAGAGGAAGAGCCTGTCAGAACTATTATATGATTACTGGAGCCTGTCAGATCTAGTTGTTTTTTTTTCCTCCCCAAACACTTAACAGAATGAATGTATGCTTTTTTCACATCTGCTATTTTCTCTCAGCCACCCAATATGCCTGGAAAATCTACGGGTGTCTATTCATTTCCTTCCCTCTTACAAATATTTCATCACTTTTAGGAGTTATTTCAAACTATAGGACACTGTCTAAAAGAATGAGCATTTTGCCCTGGCCAGGTAGCTCAGTTGGTTAGAGCATTGTCCCGATACGCCAAGATTGCGGGTTCGATCCCCGGTCAGGGCACATACAAAAATCAACCAATAAATGCATAAATAAGTGGGAAAACAAATCGATGTTTCTCTCTAAAGTAAAAATAAATAAAAGGATGAGCATTTTATCAAAGTCTGGAGTCTCCAGGATAAGTCAGACAGTACATAGAGCCAATTATTCAGTAAGCCACTTCGTGTGACCTTGAAGTTGATGGGGATAGGACTATGTCCACATCATCCTGAAGATACTCTATCTCAAATTCCTACCACAACACAATTGGAGGTAGGAAGGGAAGAAAATGAGATGCTGTCAATAAAACAAATCCAAATTGCATCACCTTCTATGCAAAGCTATCCTGGTACTATATAGGGTGCAGCAAATACTCCTATCACCTTTACTAACTTTATAGTCAAGTCTGGGGTCTCAAAAGTAGAATTGGGAACCCTAGGATTCTAACCCAAACCTTAGAGACAGGGCTTAGGCAACTGCCTCAAACCCAACATATATTGGAGGTCTCTTTCAGGTAAGGGCATTCTGATAATAAAAATGAATTCCTAACTCAGTCTCTCCTTTCTACTCAAGGTCAAACTAAATGATCCCTCCCAAAGTCTCTACTGATTGCTCATAAGACAGGATTTTTCTTCTTTCTGAACTGTCTTATTAGCACTTTGTAGTAACACTCATCTAGCAACCAACATACTTTGCTCTGACTACACTTATTCCTACCTTTCAGAAAGGTTTATGTATAAAGTTTCAGAGTTGAAAAGTTGGGTTCTAATCCATTAATTACTAGCCAAGTGGTTTTACCTTTTTTGAACTCCAGTTCCCTCATTAGAAAAAGAGGGCTATCTAGCAGATTTATGAGATTGTCAAAATAAGTGTAAAGCACTTAGAATGTCAAAACTGCACAGTACTGACTCTCCCCCTCATCTTTATTTGGGCAAGGACTAGGCTTATCTTTATAATCAACCTTGAAGTACACAGAGCAATACTAAGTCTACAAAAGGTTTAAGTAGTTGGCGAATAATTTGGCTTAAACACTGGATCCTTGACTTTTCCCCATATAATTTTTTACCATATGTAGAAGATTTTGATTATGAAATGTTTTCATATCTTTAGTAGGGATATGATTGTTATATAATAAGGTTTTCCTAGTTATTACTCTCATATCATAAGGAGTTTCATTCTTTAGAGAATCAAAAAGTCTAAAATTTTAAGCCCTTTTTCTTCTGGACAGAACTGGGCCAAATGCCAAAAAAGTTCCTGACCAGAAACTTCTCAATTTCCTAAATAAAAAGTAATTCTTATAAAAAGATAAAAAATCCATTTTATTCAGTTTCTTCTTAGGTGAAGAAAACTCTTTGTAAATGCCCTAACGAAATATAGTCACTTTCTGTTCCCCCTTTGCAAGTAAAAAGGGTGAATCGTTCCACTACTGACAAAAAAAAAAGATATGAGACCCTAATTTAGAGTCAGGTTTTCCAAAGATGCCTATTTTATTCCAAAAGGCTACCAAGCCTGGCTCACTTGCCACTGAATATCCATATGAAATTCTCTCTGTGATTATGCTTTTACTTTCCTCTTAAGTTTTAAAGAGAATTACAACTTCAGATAACTTCTTCAAGGTGAGACTAGAAAAGCAACACATCTATTAGAGAAGAGAAAGAGCTCATGGAAGGAGAACAAAATTATAGATGTGCCATCAACCCAAAACTCTTTTCAAAGGCTGAGCAAATTCTATATCATAAACAAAAGTTCAAGTTAGACTCCAAACTGGGACACAGTCTAATCTGAATGGTGTAATTAATCATTTAAGCTTATTACAAAGCCAATATATAATATATGCCCTTAGCTCTAAAATTATAAAGTATACTTTCTGAAGAGTTGCTGATAAATTTGCTTATTTCTTGAACTATTAATGATTATTAATAAAAAGTTAAGCCAAATAACACATTTTTAGCTGGAAAATATTTGATTCAAGAAAAGGAGACCGGACCCTATTCAAATGAAAAGTTTTGAAGATCCTGTTCTCCTGCAAAAAACCAATAGCATGTTTCCAAGTACACATTTGTGGCACAGAGCACAAAGGGAAGAAACATTTCTCATGGAGTCTGAATCACATGGTAGCTGGGGTTTCCACTAAATTTCTCAAAAAACCAGTAGAGGGAAGACCTTAACAAACAACCCAGTGCTTGGAATACCCATCTACATAATAACTATGGTTATTTGGGCTAAAGACCACTTCAAATGTAAATAACATTCCTGCTCTTTAAACACAGCTAAATAGCACTGTGTTGGCAGAAAAAAAAAGTCTATTTCAGAAATAAACTCCTGCTCCACTATCCAACTATAAACAAATTAAACCAGGGAAATTCGAATCTGGTAAATCTTACCAGGTTTTTAATGTGGGTGATAAATTTGCCCTCATCATCAATAATGTGGAATGTCAATAGCAAGGAATGGCACTGTGTTTAAGTGGGGAATGAATGAGATAAAGATATTTCTATACAGCTTTCCCTAACAAAATATTAAGGTCTGAGTCTAATAAAATATTTTTTGTTATCTTTTGATGCTACTCTTCTTTCCTCTATCAAAACAAAATTTGATGCTATAAGTTTATTGAGTATACTTTACTAGGAATAAATCTTACACGTATTTTACACCTGTTATCTCAATTTAAAAAATAAAAACGATAGTTTCCATGTGAAAAAAATTTCAGGCATCAAAAAATAGGCAGAGAGTATTTCCTATTGCCACTTAAATTCCTATGTTCTAATATTTACTCAACTTTAAAGAGAAAACCTGATTTTGTCTCTTTAGGGTCAAGGGATTATCTTTCTTTTACTAGATAGCCACCCCTCTCCCCAGAACAGGGACTTCCTTTTTTACTAAACCTGCAATACACACACCATTGTCTATGGCACAAGAAATGCTCAATAAACATTTATCAAATGTCCAGTTTTAAAATGAGTTGTTGGGAGAGGAAACATATACATATACTT